ACAAAAGTGTCACATAAGAAACATCTCATGATGGGTAAAAGCAAAGAGCTCTCCCAAGACATTCACAACCTTATTGTTGCAAAACATATTGATGGAATTGGATACAGATATATTCCAAAACATCTGAATCTTCCAGTAACACTACTGGAGCCATTATCCACAAGTGGAAGCAACATCACTCTGTCATCAACTGGCCACGCACAGGAGCTCCTCGCAATATTTCTGACCAGGGAGTCAGAAGAATAGTCAGAAGAGTAGCCCATGGGTGGGGGGTGGGTAGGAACACACTCGACAATTTGGGCATATCTCATCATTGGGGGAACATGTCCCCCTCAGTTTCTATAGTGATTACAGCCCTGTATTTAGGCCGCGCCACACACACACACACACATACACACACACACACACACACACACACACACACACACACACACACACATACCGATCAGCTGTAACATTAAAGCCACTGACAGGTGTAGTGAATGACAGTGATTGTCTCATTACAACGGCTCAGTAGGATATATTAACCAGTAAGTGAACACTCAATACTCAGCTGAAGTTGAGCGTAAGGATCTGAACGACTTCTACAAGGGCCAAATTGTGATGGCTAGACGTCTGGATCAAAGCACCTCCAGGTCAGCTGTTCCTGGTATGCAGGAATAGTGCCTACTAAATGTATTCCAAGGAAGAACAAGCAGTGAACGGGCCAAGGCTGGCTTAATGTTCTTTTATGTTTTCTAAATGGGAAATTCAGATTAGATATTGTTTCACCATTGACTGTAATGACTGTGATCATTACCTGATAATGACAAACATAACGAGGCAGTTCCCCGTCAGCCCCACCACGAACACTACGGAGTAAACGGCGGTGATGACCGGGAGGAGAGGCGACATGCGCTCAGGCGGCACATTGCGCGGATCCGCCTCGCTGCTCACAGACGCGTTCAGCTCACACTCAGACATATACTTATCCTCCCTCATGATGTCCACCAGGTCCGAGTCCATGTCTCCGTGCTGTCAGAGGGAAGACAAACTTAATAAGGCGCACTTACATAATGCGCAATGTTGAACTATACGCATAAAGTTATATGAAAACTGCTCACCCCAGCCCCAAACCTAATCACAACCTTCTTAACGAATGCGCAAACACTAAATTCATTTCATATTTAATCAATTAAATTCCGCAGATTGCATTTTATGCAGACGTCGCCTGAAATTGCTCCGTGACAACCCACAATTCACTGTTTCTTACAAATTTCACACACATCACTTAGAGTAGGCTTACAATCTCGTTTAGATATCGGCTGACCTGGATGCTGGAGTAAACGCGGTAGAAGGTAAAGAGTGCAGGAAGAAGCAGGGCTGCTGGTCCTCAGGCGCAGTAAAACGCGCGCTGGATAAACTTTGTCACTGTCGGTTCTGTACGAGTGCAGTGTGGAGGGTTCAATGTGCTCCGGGTCCTGCACCCTCCTCTTCTATTTCTCTCCTCATCCACCCTTTCCCCCCCAAACATGACATCACAGATCAACAGAGTTGCCTCCGTCTCTACACGCTCCACTTTGCACAGGTGAGGATTTCCAGGCATGATTTCATGGATATTTCTTCAAATTACAGACAGTTAAAATGCACCTGAAATCAAAACAGGTGTTTTGTACCTGTCCGTCACCAGTATGAGAATACATCTAGGATAAACCATTTTTGTAATTTTCTCATTTTTAAAAGTATAATCTAGTTGTAGTGTATTGACTATAACATTAAAATAAGAATATATATATATATATATATATATATATATATATATATATATATATATATATATATATATATATATATATATATATATATATATATATATATATATATATATATATATATATATATATATATATATATATATATATATATATATATATATATATATATAACCACAATTAAACATTTTTGAAGGCCCATCGAGAACCAGTTCTTTCAGTTAAATGCTCTCTAGAACATACATGTCCTGACCCCAGGACATGTTTTGCTCTACAGTAGCAGCTCATTAGAAGAAAAAATAGTAAGTAAGGTTCACCTATGTGTTTGTTTGTTTTTTGGCTGTGTGCCATGCCACACAATATTCCCTTGTCCAACATGGAAATGTTCTAGAAGGACCGGAAGCAAGCAGTTCATGTGAGGAAACCCACAAACATCCCAGAGCTGAAGCTGTTCTGTACTGAGGAATGGGCTAAAATGTCTCCAAGTCGATGTGCAGGACTGATCAACAGTTACTGGAAATGTTTAGTTGCAGTTTTTGCTGCACAAGGGGGTCACACCAGATCCTGAAAGCAATGGTTCACATACTTTGGCCACTCAAAAATATATGATATTGGATCATTTTCCTCAATAAGTAAACAACCAAGTATAATATTTTTGTTTCATTTGTTTATTTGGGTTGTCATTGTCTACTAAAATGTGCAGGACAAGGTATACTCCAAAAGAATGAAATGTATAATTCACCCATTTATTCTCAATGTATTTCTGAGCTACATTTCCAGGTCAAAGAGAGTTGAATTTATGGCAAGTGTGTAACTGGCAAACATGGGCCAACACTTAGCTTTCAGGGCAAATTCTTTTGCCAGCCAGATTTGAAAATTCATATCCATAATTCTGCAGTTGACATGTGGGATGGCAGCTTATGTGGAACGTATGTATGAGATTATTTAGCATCTCTTATAGAGATTGAACCTGTACACCTTTCTTGGTGACATGGTGTCCTTGACACAGCTCCAGGGTACAGAGGTTTTCTCCTGGTATTCTGGTTCTGTGGACAAACTGGGCTTTGGGCTATTTATCTAAAGGTTGAAAGTTTAAAACCCACTCACTGTAGATAACATATCATTCCATCCAAGCCTGGATATGGAAAAAAATCATTTAGTACAAACAGTTGTACTAAACATGTGTATGTGTATAATGACAATAAAGGCAATATGTGGCACAAAGATAAAGTATGATAAACTGTGCATTTCAATATTTTGTGCTGTTCTTCAGGAGTTTTTGCCTGATTGACAGGCAACTAGTGTTTGTCATTAAAACACAGACATCCTTGATTATTTTAATGACTATAACTCGGGGGAGCTCTTTAATTGATATTTGATGTGCTTGTTATGTGGTCTTAATACAGGATAGTTCCTTCTGGGTTAAATTGGGTTAGGTCTATTTAAATCAGTGTAAATGATTTTCAGTGCAGACTCCATGGAATGAATAATGAACAGACTGATTTCATTGCATCAGCCTACATTCTCAAATATGCAGCTGTTTTCAAAAATGTAGTTTAGTATCAAGATTTTAAAAGAATGTACTACTTTGTGTGTGTGCATACCATGTATGGCTGATCATGATGGGATGGCTAAAATCTAATATCAATCAGTAGAATGATAATTAAACTAATAGGGTTGAACAATGCAATTCATCAAAGGCATAGTAATAATTATGATGGGCAAACTATTACACACACACACACACACACACACACACACACACACACACAAAGAGATAAGCAGCTGCATTGAAGCTTTTTTTTTAAAGTCTTTCAAGTTTGCAATATTTGGATTCATGCCATATTAGTTGTAACCCTTTAGCTCAAAGAAACAAACAAACAAACAAACAAACAAACAAAAACTCTAAACGTATGGTCTGTTCTTATGGTCTGTGTAATCATTTGACATGCCTGTCACTGAAGCCACATTCTGGCCTAGAGAGAATCAGCCCAAGCATCACTTCATTCTACTCACAACCAGTTGGAGTGCTGTTGTGCTTGGTTCTATGAACTTCAAAATAATCAGAATTTGTTAGTACCTGTACATTCATTAGAAGTAAGTTATCTGACGTTGAGACCAAAAATGAAACATTTTTGAATATCTTTTTATCTTTGAAAGAGGGGAAGATTAGCCCTCCTAGACCATTTATTCTGGTTGCCTGTGGTGTGTTCTCACATTTGCATAGTCTGTGTGCCCCACTATAATGAGCAGCAATGGAAATGGACCTTAGCAAACTGGCTCACATAAGATGGTGGTAATGTGATGAACTAAGATACCATGCACACTATTTTGTTGTGTCCTTCTCTTGTCACTTGTGTTAAAAACGGAGTGTGAATGTAAAGCAAATTTGTATCAAATGATACGAACATATTTTTAATATGTTTTAATGACACTGCATATCTGTAGCTTATATTTGAGAGATTTATTATCATTATCATATACAAAATTCCCCTGTAACACACCAGAGGCAACTGGATTTACAGCATGCACCAAATCTCTTTGTTTAGGGTCTGAATAGATAGCTGGAATTAAACCACAGGCAAACAGGGATATCATATGCAAATCCATATTTAATTTGACATAGACAAGCAGCTTAAGGTCAATGCGTGACTGCATTATTTGCAGAGTTAAGTGTTCTTAAATTCCTAAAAGGATTCTAGTTTGGAAGTTTTTCCGATTGACAAATACTCAGTTTGGTTCAGCACAGAACATTTTTAGGAAATCTTAAGCAAGGAAATATTGGAAACCACTGGGAAATACAGTTAAAAAATTTAGCAATGGAAAACATTGGAATGCATACGGACTGGGAACCAAAAACAAACTAGCCCAAAACCAGGCAGAGCTGAAAGAGAAACTGAGAAAAACAGGAACAGGAAAGCTCTAGGACATCCCCCTTTCAAAGTGCTAGATTCTAGGTAATAGTGGAATTCTAGATCAGCAGATACATCTCGCTTTATTCAGCGTGAATGAGTCATGTGAATGACTGTGGACGTCCATCCATCCATTTTCTGTACCACTTATCCTACAAAGAGTCATGGGAGCCTGGAGGCTATACCAGGGCACAAGGTGAGGGACACCCTGGACACTACAGACAATTTGGAAATGTCAATCAGCCTACAGCACATGTCTTTGGACTGGGGGTAGAAACAGGAGTACCCAGAGGAAACTGCCGAAGCATGGGGAGAACATGCAAGCTCTGCACACACATGGCAGAGGTGGGATTCGAATCCTCAACCCTGGAGATGTGAGGCATGCGCGCTAACCACTAAGTCACCATGCCCACCTTACTGGGGAAGTACTATTACAAGTATGGTGCCCTCCACTAATATTGACACCCTTGGTAAATATGAGCAGAAAAGTCTATTATGTGTAAATTGTCTTTGTCTCCAACCTCATCAGGCATTATAGGAGAAGATTCAGAGCTGTTATCTTGGCAAAGGGAGGTAGCACAAAGTATTGACTACAAGAGTGCCAATAATTGTAGCACACCTACATTTAACAAAGATATTTTTTTTGATAAACCTGTATTGTGTTTGCAATTGTTTGATATCCATGACAGCAGAGAATTTTTAAAATTTCTTTGAACAAAAGATCAAAAGTTTAAACAATAATGACAAATTTTCACAGCCTTCTTTTGCTCATATTTACCAAGGGTGACAATATTAGTGGAGGGTATTGTAAGTTGTTACAGTGCTCTCCAGAATTAATGGCACTTTTTATGAAAATGACCAAAAACAAAATTAATACAAAAAAGGAACAACACATGCAAGCTAATAAAGAATGACAATTTGTTTGCTTTTATTTATAAATATTTCTTCAGGACATCAATAATTGTGGCACATATTTTTTTTAAAATAATAATAAGAATGCTTTTAGTCTGACCAAAATATTACATTGTGTCTGATGTTTATATGATAGTATATTACACTATATGTATAGTAAAGGATGCGAATAACTTTGGAGGGCACTGTATGTGTGTTATTTTTATGGATAAAGAGAATTATGTGTACAAAATTCTGTTTGTCTATGTCATATATGTTTATATATTTTTTATATCTTGGTGGAGGCCAAATGACACAAGGATATTAATATCTGATTGTTGGACAATTGGCTGGTCCCCATGATATGTCAATGGATGTCATTGGTATTGTGTGTGTGTATGTGTGTGTGTGTGTGTGTGTGTTTGAGTGTGAGTGCAACATGGCTATCAGGCACACTCATTTTTCATATCTGCATCATACAGTCTCTCAATCGCACTTCACCCCCTCAATCACACACCCATACATCGCACGCTTATTTCATCCATCCATCCATCTTCAACCGCTTATTCCTTCTTCAGGGTTGCGGGGAACCTGGAGCCTATCCCAGGAAGCATCGGGCACAAGGCGGGGTACACCCTGGACAGGGTGCACGCTTATTTGTCACACATATTAATATATATGTAAATTAGGGAAATGAGGGGTGATGTCAGTAGGTGTGGATGCGTGTGAGATTCCTCAGATTCCTAATGCAATGATTCTCAGTGAATTTCAGTCTCTTTCAACATCTTTTTATGTCTTTGTTTTTATATGCCTTCAGACACCTCTCTCTCTCTATCTCTCTCAGAGTGCTCTAGGTATGCTTGACTAGCCGCACATGCTTTAATGAATTCTGTATGTTGTCTCAGTGTTATCTCACAGCATTCATGCTGCAATAAGAAACAATGTTTTTATGAGTACACAAGAAAGCTTTGGAGTTCTCCATCTTCATTCTAGATTTATTCTTTTCTATAGGCAATTACTGTACAAGGCACCATTTCCAGAATAGTGCTGTAGTTGTTGAAATAGCAGCACCCATTTCTGTAAGATTGAATTCACATCCAACTTTCATGATTTCTGTTGACCTCTGCTGGAGGTAAATTTATGATAACATTTATATGCATATAGCATACAAGAATGTGCTAAAGGTCTTGCTGTAAATGTTAAATGTAATTCAGGCTTCAGGCACTTAAAATGAGGTGACAGGAGTGGAATATGAAGAGATTAGCCTCATGCAAGAGTGTGCATGCGCACAGAAATCATGAATCAGTAATTCATGAATTTGACCCACAAACATACTGTTTATTAAGTGACATGTGTGGTGATGAGATTTCCTGTGATGGTACATACTGTATGTGTACTCTACTGTGATGATAATGTCCTTTTATTATACTGTATATAAATATTCTGTACAACTGGTTTGCATTTCCATAAAGCATATAAAGAATTCTTACACAACTCAGTCTAATGCACTTTGCATATGGAAATGAAAAATAGGAACACTGGATGCTGATTCACGTTATTAAATGATTTATAGAGCTGCTGCAGAACTTAAGTGAAGCAGGGGAAAGGAAGAAAACCGACTGAGGAATCATTCATTTTTTAAAGTGAATGATGCCTGACCCTGGGGACTTGGATTGAATGTCCACAGCTGAGGAGCAGTGCAGCTTAGGCATCACAAAACCACACATCAGCAAACTACAAAACACACACACACACACACACACACACACACACACACACACACACATTTCCAAAGATTATAGGTAAATGCAAGATTATAGGTAATACTGGAATTGCAGATCAGTAGATACATCTCACACTGTACAGAGTGTGGATTACTGGGGAAGTACTGAAAATAAGAAGCTAGCTACAGTGCTCTCCGGAATTAATGGCACCCATCATGAAAATGAGCAAAGAATTGATACAAACAAAGGAAACAACACATCCTTGAGTTGAACAAGAATGACAATTTGTTTTGCATTAATTCACATTTTTAAGGGTACACATAATGCACACACACACACACACACACACACACACACACATATATATATATATATATATATATATATATATATATATATATTGTCGCGACGGACTGGACTCCGGAGGAGAAAGGGATCGCTCCTTGCCAACTCCGCGGAGTAAAAGCCTGCGGCCACCATTCGTATAAATTCACACGCTACTGGGTAAAACCTTCAAGATTGATAACATGTGAGACTGAGTATTACCGTGCTCCTTTTATTGTGTGATTTTCTCTCTCTCCCCCCGATGGCGGGGGGAACCGCGCTGAGGGGGCCGCGGTCCACCTAAACCGCACACACAGGTACACAGTTCTTCCTTCTTAATCCGCTACATGGTTTAAGCTTAAAAAAGGGCTATCAGTTTTTTCTTTTCAGGAAAAAAAAAGAGAATGAGAACTATCAGTTTTCTTCTTTTCAAAAAAAAAAAAAAAAACACCACACAATGGAGCAATTACAGTGTGCAGCGTTACAGCAACAGTACCCACCTTGCAGCCAGAGCTGGTCCTCAGCGACCCCGGCTGGTGCTGCGTCGCATACAGCCGGACGCCGTGCCGCACCCCTCCCCAGTGCCCGGTGGGGTGTTTGGGTTACCCGTGGTGGGTAGGCCGTGCCCTTGGCCCGTTCTTTGCTTTTTTTTAGGGTGCTAGTGTGTTTGGCCGGTTATGGGCCGTGGGGGTGTGGACAGGGTACGGAGTTGGGAAGGCTAGCCGTACTCCAAAGAATTAACGTGGGGTCCCGGTTTCAGTAGCCGGTGTTTGGCGCGGGGCCCACACAGGTGAAACTGCTGGATGGTCTCTGCATGCTCTGTAATGAAGTGGGCCCCCTTTAGCCTATGTCTCTTTGGCTACATGGGCCCCGCCACCTTCCAAGGCTGATGACATCGTCCTCGCCCCATCTGTAGCCCTACCTGATGAGTAGTCATCCATTTCATGGAATGTTCATTGGGGGGTCTAAGGGACTCGCTGGCTTGACTGCCAACCCAAGAAAGTCACCTTGGGCTAAGAGCAGTACTGGGTACTATGCCTAGCAGAAAAGTGCGGTAGGTCCCTCGAAAAAAGTGGTGTTCTTGGGGTTGGGGGATACTGTCGAGTTTGTCCCTAACTTCTCGTAGCCTCTCCTCTTTCAGACCTGACAAAGAAGGGCGCGGACCAAGTGAGGTGGACCGCCCACGCCGAGCCTCCGCTAAAGCCCTCACCAGTGAGTTGCAACCCTTCCGCTCCCCTTCTTGGTGCACACCACTAGCAGCTCTCAAGCCTTGAGGAGAAGAGCACCGTACTTCATCAGCGAGCTCCGCCAGAGAGAAGCCGCAGTAGAACCCTAAAATGGGCCATCGGGTGAGGTACTACCTCCCCGATTCTGGTGAGCAGTGTGAGACTTGAGTCTGGTGTCCCCGCATTGTTCAGGCAACCTACAGGTGCAGAGGTCTCAGACCTTCCCACGGGAGTGAGTGGGGTACTGCGAGCTGCCGGCTCCTGCATGCCGAAGCACGGACCTGGAGTAGGAGGAGCCATGGGATGCGTACTTTGAGGACTTCACACTCGTAGTGCTGCCATAGTACTTAACGTGATTTTGTGTTTTTTATGTGGATTAATCTCTCTCTCTCTTTGTATTGGAAGGCACCGACACCGAGACGGCCCGACGAACGGCAGCGCGAGGGATGCCAGGCAGGCGTTCCGGGATTCCCCACCCACTAGGTACTGCCCGTCACAAGTACATTACTATGTTGTATTCTTGTTTGTACGCATCCGCTACTATATATATATATATATATATATATATATATATATATATATATATATATATATATATATATATATATATATATATATATATATATATATATATATATATATAAATATATTTATTTTTGAGAAAGTAATAATAAGAATGTTTTTAGTTTGACCAAAAAATATTTTCTCCTTTATTTTGGTGGAAATATTTTTATATTGTGTATGCTGTTTAATTAATGCTCTGTTTAAAAATAATTGGTGTCAAACAAAGGGAGGCACAACTAAGCGATCATTGTACAGTATGTTAGCTGTCCCTATGCTCTGCTCATATCATGTTCACATAACACATATAGACCTTTACAGACCTTCTTTTCCTGCTCAGCATGAGAAGATGTTTAGGTTTCAGTTTCAACCCCATTACTGGTAAAAAAATAAAATAAAAACAAAAAAACAAACAAAAAAATCAGCATATATCCACTTTACCCCTCACACTGACTGTGTGAGCTAGCATTTAGCAGGATTGAGAGCTGTCAGCCAATAAGTAATAATGAATAAATAAATGAGTATTTCCATGTATTTTCCTGTAAATCCTGTCTTATTGGTCATGCCTCTGTCTGTTCACTGAAGATAAAATATAACACTGCTGTCTTCTTTAACTGACGTTAAGGTGCATAGTGATAAGCCGTTCCATGTGGAGAAATGTTAGGGGCTAAAGAAAGAACCTTC